TGAGTCCACGACTAACCCTCCTTTATGTATTTGCATATTTGCAGCCCTACACTGGTGCAATGTGTAATTTATCTCATTTTGGAAGAAATTAATAGTGAGGGAGAAAATCCTTTTCTCCCTTTAAAAGAAGCTGGTACGATATTTCAGATGTGCAATTAGGCATAAGGAGCTATCAGCGCCCGTAAAAGACCATCTGTGTCTTTGATCTCCCAAATTCCTTCTCCTCATCTCTCTCTCTCTCTCTCTCTCTTGCATCTTTTCTAGCTCTCAGAAACAATATTTTAGACCAAGGAAATGTCTTATACGTACAGACAGAGCTCTCTGTTCGTCTGTGTCTTGGAGCTCAGCCAATCTGATTCATTTAGAGGCAAGCATTAAATTTGGCTCCGTCTGCCCCTGTTGTCTGTCACGCACTGAAGGCCGGTCTCGGAGGAAGCTGCAGAGTGCTTCTGCAACTCCCCCGTCACTTTTGGAGGCAAGTTAAGCCGAGCAGAGGGCTAACTTTGAATCAGATCTTGAAGGTGACTTTGCAGCCCCTGTCAACACCAAAAGGGAAGAAGAAAAAAAAACCCGCCCAGCACCAAACTGCACAGTGAATGTCGACACTCAGACATATTCCTCACTTTGCTGTTTGTCTTCTTGAATGGACTCAGGAGCGGTCCCCCGCTGTCAGATGATGTCGCCCCCTCAACTCAAAAACAAAGCCGTAGAATCAGCAAAGACGGACGTAAGTGCGAGGAAATGATTAAAGGGAGGGGGGAACAAGGCAGCCATGTTTTCAAAGCCATCGATCTCCACAGGCTTTGTTTGCTAAAGCTTTTTGTGAGTGCAGAAACACACTGAGCCAAACACTCAGTTCAACACCCTGTCTGATATCAGAGCTCCTCTAAGCTCTCCACAGCAGCTTGTTCTTTATCAAAGAGCCGCAGTAAAGGCAGAGCGCCGTTTGACAGTGAGGATGCGATTTATTTTCATATGACAAGCTAGTCTGCACTTCAAGCATCCATCTCTGAGGTGCTTTTTTCCGATAATGGCTTTGATTTGAAGGGAAATTTAATCTGAGAATAACGGATTAAAGATGGCAAAAAACAAGGAATGAGTTTTGATGTTCGATAACACTGACGAACCATTACTTGTCATCTTCTGTCTGTTTTACTTTCCATGTCATGTTCTTTTCTAAGTAAAGAATGAATCCCTACAAAAAGACTCACAGCTATAACACAGCCTACAGGTATTGCATTTTTATGCAGTTCTGAGTCACAGACCTGGTCAGATTTTGGTCCAAGAAGATAAATGCTGTTCATTCTAAACCTGTCAGGGAAAGCAAATGAATCCTGCACTGCACCAGTGAACAACTGGGCTGCGAGTTATCTGCCTTGCACTGTATTAATCACAAACCTTTTTTTGCAAGTGTCATTTGATACAGAACATCTATTATTGTTTGTATTAAGACTCCTGCAGCAGAGCTTCTTCTTTTAGTTTCACAAAACAAGCTTCTCAACTTTAGGGAACGTGAGATAGTTGAACACTCCATTAAATAAACAGATACCATGCAGCTAATGAACGGCATTAAGGATAACAACTCTCATGGCTAAGATCGATTGTCTGAACAAACTTCAATACCACCATTATCTCCTGCAGACGACCACGTCCGCACATCTCCACCTCGCCCACATTTCTCTCCTTGCTTCCTCTATGAGCATTTCAGAAGAAAAAAAAAAAGAGAGAGTCATTATTCTCTCATTTTCAGCCCGCCTTCGGGTTTCATCCTTGTCAGCCATGAATTATAGATGTTAAGTCTGAATTGACTTGAAGAAAAAAAAAGTGCAATTAGCTTCAGGAAGTTGTTTCAGATCATTATTTTAAAGAATCATTTCAAATACTGGGTGGGATTGGGATCAGCCAGACTGGAAAGTCACATTAGATGAAAGTAGTTTTGGATGTCAGTAAAGGAAATTGTTGGCTGCTCGTAGGAATCGTTAACCTCTTCATGTTTCTTTCACTTGGCTTAACTGAAATCAGTGGACTCACAAGCCGAGATTCTTTTGTCTCTTTCTACTCCTAATAAGTCCTCCCTCGACCGTCTACAAGTTACATCATTTACTAGGTCCAGCAGGTCTCCTCACATTACACCCATCTAATATTCTCTACATTGGTTTCCATTGAATTTAGGATTCATTAAAGGATCTTAGTTTTCTGTGTATCTCTGACCTGCTCCATCCATCATAAGTATGATCCATCAGGTCTTCTGACCAGGTTCTACTTGGTGTACCTCGTGTCCAATTGAAGAAAAAAAAAGGTGAGCATGCCTTTCAATGAGCGGCTCAGACCCTTTGGAAAGCTCTTCCGATGCACAAATGTTATGGTATCATTTAGTGAAGCACTGTGTGACCTCACTCTGTGAACGCTGCTTTAACAAATAAACTTTACTTCTAAAATTCTACAATTCGCTTCGCAGACGCTTTTATCCAAAGTGACGTACATCAGAGAGTAAGAACAACACAAGCAAGGATGTAGAAAAAAGGGAACAATGTCAGTAAGAGCAAACGATCAGCTTTAAGTCCGATTGGACACACAGGTGCTGACAGGAAGTGACCAGAGGCAAAGCACAATATGACGGCAGTTCTTGAGCGCTCTAATCAGTATAGAAACCATCTTATAAGTCATTGTTATCAAACAAAAACCATCGTCATTACCATCATCATCATCATCAATAATAATATGGAGACCATCATCATTAAGTTAGTAGGTATTCATGAAAGAGCTGGGTCTTTAGCTTTTTCTTAAAGGTGCAGAGGGACTCTGCAGATCACATGGAGTTTGGAAGTTCATTCCACCACCGGGGGGCGACAGAGGAGAAGAGTCTAGTCAGAGACTTCTGACCCTGTTGTGAAGGTTGGATCAGACGCCTTTCATTGGCAGAGCGTAGTTTCCTATCACTATGAAGTCATAGCAGTGCAGGAAAAAAACTGCACTGCATGGAAAATAGGAAATGAAAAAACAACCTACAGAACACACAGTTTTCAATGCATAAATATTAATTGAAATACATTCAATTAAGTTACAGTAGTTCTAGCCCTTGATTTTTCATTTTTCTTTCCCTATTGCTTTTGCTCAGTCTTAAAAAGCCGAGCTGTCAATCAACTGGATGGTTAGATGGATGGATGGACGGACAGATGGATAGATGGGAAATATACAGAAACAAAAGACCTCCTTATATTCATACACATAATAAAAGTCAGTTTTATAATAATAAATTTGATCAGAAATTTAAAAAAAATTAATCTATGCATTCGTCTATATATTTCCAAATGTATTCATTATTTCATCTGTTGGTCTTTAATTCATTTATTTTTTAATTGGACTTTTTAAATTATTGCCTAAATAGTCACACATGTTATTTTACAATTACATCTCTAGACCAAAGCATGTGCATGGTTGTGTCGTTTTCTCAGTATTGGCTGTCATCTCTCTCTGTACTCTCTGGATTTGAATTAAAATCTGAAGGTTTATCAGATATATCTCACCAGTAGATAGATTGTCTCACACAAATAAAAAAACATGCTGTGCGTGCGCGCGTGCGTGCGTGTGTGTGTGTGTGTAATAGAGAGACCAATTAAAGAGAATGAAGGGCTAATGGATTTTTCATCGAAGGTGATTTATTGTGTCTGATATGTGAAATCAGTTTGCAGATTAGAGGAACATCCTGCAGGAGTTTTCAGATGTGTAACTCTGTCGTGATTAAACAGTGTGAGTGTGAGGATGATCGCTGTTCGATCCAAAATGTTCCTGATTTCTGTGTCTGTCAGCCTCCAACAGCAGCTGAATAATTACCGCACTAATGAAGATCCTTTTTATTCCTCCTCACACTCACAGTTAATGAGAAGCTCAACGATTAATGAGCCAGAGCCATTTTTTTCTCCTCGCACAAAAAAGGACTCAAATACCCACAAGTCAGTGGGGTCCTGAAAAGGAGCACAGCTGTTTGAAGAGACTAATTTGGCACTTATAAATGATCTACTCTGCTAGCCGAGCTGGTGATGGACACTGAGAAAATTATACATGTGCTTCTTTTTTTTTTCCGTTAATCCGTCAGTGACATGCTGAATAAAGTTTTTAATTAGAGTAAGAAGATGATGACAGCAGATGGAGGTCAGGCAGCATGCTTGTTGGTAAAGCACTGAGCACTGCTGCTGATGCTGCTACATCTGCTGCTTAAAGTAACTGGCCACAAATCAAGTGTTAAAGGAGCAATATGTCAGATATCTACTAAATTAAATGATAAAATGACCTTTACTATATCATCAAACATGCTCTGTTGAAGTGCTGGCTTCTGTGTCAACAATGCAGCAGCCAGTATGTACTCCTCCTAAGTTTTGATTCCAGTCCAGAGTGGTCTGTTTTTGTAGATAGGCGGTTTTAAGGCACCCCCACGTGGTTGTTTTGGACGCCCCTTGGTTTAGTTTAGTTTATTAGGATCCCCATTAGCTGTAGCATTACAACATCTATTCTTCCTGGGGTCCTCACAACAGACTTTACATAGTGACAATGCAACCATTACAACACATAACAGATAACATTAATCATAAACAGGATTAACAGGACACGACTAGAACAGACACACACATTCACACACACACAAGTTCCTATTTCCAAATAATGATACATTATACATATGTACACACAAATGTACAAATATACATACCTGCATACGAACACACTCATACACACTTATATAATATATTCATATAAATATGCACATACATAGGGGGAGACACCTTACAGTTATAACATCAAAGCATACAGTCTTGCATTTTGATGAAGTTCTGAGTCACAGACCTGGTCAGAAGATAGATGGTGCTCATTCTAAACCTGTCAAGAAAGCAAATGAATTCACCTTTTTTTTAAATTTGGACTGCAGTACCCATTTTAAACGCTACGTATCAGAGTTACATATTGCTCCTTTTAACTTTGTGTTTTTTTTCTTCCCCTCCCTGTAGTTGGGACGACAGCAGCTCGGTGAGCAGCGGCCTGAGCGACACGTTGGACAACATCAGCACCGACGATCTGAACACACCCGCCTACTCCGCCGTCAGCTCGTCACGCAAAAGCAAAGGAGCACAGGTAAGAGCACAACACTTCACTTTAAGTAACCACGGCAAACCTGTGTGATGTCATTCAGGGTTAAGTAAGATTTGTATCCATGAGCCAACATGGCGCTACGGATGACTGATGCAGCGGTTTACAGCTTCTGTCAAGACTGGATATTAGGATTGATGGCTGACAAAATTAGCTGGAAATATAAGTGTGCTTGATGTCTGAAACTGACAAGCCAGGTGTAGCACGATATGTTCAAATGCACGATTACAAGCGGCATGAATTGAAGGCCAGTCTGTACATGAGCTCTAAGAATCACAGCTGAGAGAGTTAACTGCAGAACGAAGGCTTTTGCTGTGTTTGGCCAATTATCTCAGGCCCTTTCATGAAACTCTCTGCAGACTGGGCCTCTTCAGAGACTCTGGTGTTGCTAAGGAGACTGGCCATCTGTCAAGGTGGGCTGCTTATCAGTGCTGTGTGGGTGTGTTTGTATTCATCCCAAAAGAGGAGATCTGGACGCCAGTGAATCCAAAGATAGCTTTCGGCTTCTTACACAGACACACACACCCTGCTGCTCTGTTTGTTTGTGCAGACACTTCTATCTCTCTGTCTGTATGTGTTGAAATATCTCTTCTTAAGAGGGTCATACTGGAGGGTTCGCATGTTTCTAACTGTAATCGACTCATTGCTGATACTTTTTTTCTTGTATCAGACACGTTACTGTTAATTTCAGAATTCCAAAAGTATTCAAAAGATAACCCCTCAAACATTGAAAATCAATCTACCAGTATCTTAATGTGCTTTCTTTGATATCCATTAACATCATCCAGTCACAGAAAGGCAGCAGGTCCAAGCATGCGGGCCAGGAGGTGAGCAGCAGCTGGGCCGGAGCAGAGGACTTAAAGAAGGTGGAGGAAGAGCTGGACTCGAGCATGGACCCAAGCAGCAGCTCCTCCCGATGGAAGTCTACCTCATCCTCGTCCTCCTCGTCGTCTCAAGCCCAGGGCCAGTACGAGGACGCGGGTCAGAAGGCTGCCGCGCTGGCCCAGATGTCCCAAACGGGCTCGTGGAGGAGGGGCATGACGGCCCAGGTGGGCATAACGCCACCCAGGACCAAAGGAGCCTCTGCTGCCCTCAAATCACCAGGTAGGAAGACTCAAGACACAAAAAAAATCACTCAAATGAAGTTATTATTACTTCTACTTTCGTAAAATGATAGTTTGTTTAAGATTTAATCTAGAGCTATGAGAGGAAACAGGAAAGATATTTATCCCCTTTATGGGACCTCTCGTAATGACAAATAAAGTGCCATGAAGGAAATGAAAAGATATTCTGTTTAGGCTGTGTCGTTTGTTTCAGAGATCAAAAAGCTCCAGCTACCTTTGCCATCCGCGTGTCTAATTTCATCCTGAATAACTTGTACCGCCTCAGAGCATGTTTCCCTTTGAGATAGAGAAACTTTGTTGTATTCTAATTACAAGTGAACAAACATCAACGTGTTCCCACTAAAGAGCATTTGGTCTTTTTTAAACTGAATGAAAACACTTCTTCACAGAACTTTGTTTTTATGTTAAAAGACTCAACTGTTAGAACTCTGAATCTTCTGTAGATAAACTTCACACAAGCACATTTATTTCCAACTTATTTTGTATTCCTTTTTCATATTTGAATTAAATTACCTCCTTCACTCTGAATTTTATTCAGGTTTCCAACTAAGTCATGACAGCATGACTGTGTGAGCCAGCATGAACAACTAATGGAGCCCAAAATTAAAGCAAATAAATCACACAGGGGTCCTTTATTTTGTGATTAAAACATGTACTTTTCTTTATGTGATACCTCAAAATGTGTTTGTTGAAACAGGCCTGAATGTATTTTGGAAAGAAGAGTTAGATTTGTTGCCTCTGCTTAAAAAAAAACTGATGATAATTCTTACTGATACCTGAGCTCGGAGACTAAACAGTTGCTCTTTAATTTTCACTCAACTCAGCAAGTTCCGCAGCGTTGTTGCAAATAAGTATTGTTTTTCAATGCGCCAGGCTGTTGGCCAACGTATACACTCGTTTGGCTTCTCCTGCGTTATGGCACCACAGGTGATACAAACGAGTCTGCGGCCAAGAAACTGCTGAGGCTAATGTTTCCTGTAATTGTGCTAATTAGTGTTTATGCAAATTGACAGGCAAAACTGATGATGCTAAGGCCTCAGAGAAGGGCAAAGCGCCTTCCAAGAGTTCAGCTGGCATCCAGCGCTCCCCCTCGGACGCCGGGAAGAGCAGTGGAGACGAAGGTAAGAAGCCTCCCTCTGGAATCGGACGCCCACCGACCACTGGTTCTTTTGGATACAAGAAGATCCCGGGTACCGCTGGTACTTTAATCACCTCCAGCGGTGCAACGCTAGCCAGCGGCTCGGCCACATTGGGCAAGGCGCCCAAATCCTCAGCCGGCCTCGGCAAAGGAGCAGGCATCGGCGGCGTGCGTAAAACTAGTCTGGATGGCTCGCAGCCCGAGGATGACGGCATCCTCCTCAGCTGCGGCTCCAAAGTGACCCTGCAGTACCGCTCTCTACCCAGACCAGCTAAATCCTCCAGCGGGGCGGCGGCCGGGCGCAGCAGCGGGCACCGCTCCAGCTCCAGCAGCGTCGACTCCAATGTCAGTGGCAAGTCGGCGGCGACGCAAACGGGCGCCAAGCGCAGGGATGGAAAAGTGGGCTCGGACCGCTCCAGTCCTATTACCATCAACCAGACGGACAAAGAGAAAGTGTCGGTGTCAGACCAGGACGCAGCAGCAGCAGGACTGTCCACGTCCCCTAAGTCCAGCCCCACGTCCAGTTCAGCGGGCCAGTCGGGCCTCAGGCAGCCCGGCTCCAAGTACCCTGATATCGCTTCTCCTACGTTCCGCAGGTCAGACACACAAAACATGCAAACATCGTCTGTTCTGTCCCCGTCCATCTGTGTTTGTGTTTCTACATGGCTCAACCACTTCATCACATATCCTGTTTATATTAGCAAAAAAAAAAGTGTTTTAGAGAACAAGAAGCATGCTTTGAGTTGCATTGTAAGTTTGATTCATGAAGTTTCAAACGACGCCATCGACACATCTATTCCAGACTTTCGGAGTGCTTTCATTCATTGTGATGGGTTAGGGTTAGGGGTTGAACTGATGTTTGTGGAGCTCTCTGAGGTTTTTTGTGATGCATGCCGGTCCTTAAGACTCCTGTAACAATCGAGGGCATTTATTGAAGAAGTCATGTGTAGTGGTAAAAATCTTACCATGGCTATAGAAGTACTCCTTCATCTCAGATATTCGATCTGTTTTCGGACGAGCAAAGTGAATATAAGACACTTAATAAATCAAATTTCAGCCCCTCCATAGAGAAATTGATGAGTTCACTCAGCTGCACAGCCCAGGGGCGAACGCTATATAGATGGCTCCCTGGTGTGGGTGATACTGCAGATGCAAAAATATCTTCACCCTGAAAGTTGAAGGATTTTCCATGCAGGTCAGGCAGATCAAGCTTAGCTGTTTTGATCAGAACAGACAGGAGACAGGAGTTTCTCCGCACGCCAATCCCTGACTCATTAGAAGCATGCGATCGGCAGCCGTGTCTAAACATCCTTCCCATCCGATCTGTCAGCCCCGACCCGTTTCATCTGCATGTCTTCAAGCTTTTTTTTCTTTCCCCCCCTGAAGAGAGTGTCACCTATGTACTTAATGTGACTGCGATGACAGACTTGGACAGGAGCAGTATGAGTAGCAGTAGCAGTCTGAGAACACGTGGGAGGCAAACAGTCGAGTGGCCTAACAGATTAAGGTTATTTAAAGTCACAGGGTTGAAACGGGCAAAAGCTGTGAAAGCAGATGTGTCGATGTGAATTACTGAGAAACGAAGCGAAGGTTGCTGTGAGGGATGAATGTGTTCTCTGACAAGTTGTTTTTCTTACTACGCTTCTGATTTGGGTACGTGATGCGTGTGACCAATACAGCTATACGTTTCAAAATGTAGTAACCTCTTTTCTCAGCCTCAAACTTTGCCAGAGTCCTTCATTTTTTTCAGTGTGGATCTTGCAGATGCTCATCACTTGTCCTTTTGAGCGTTTCTGAATGACTGCACCCACCTCTCTACCCCCCCCCCCCCCCCCAGATTGTTTGGTACCAAAGCCAGCAGCAAGGCCAGCTCTCCGGGCACGCCCGACTCGGGCAAGTGCCCCTCATTACTGGGCAGCCCCCACGGCACGCTGGCGAGACAGGCCAGCCTGGACTCGCCCTCCTCCGGCACGGGGAGCCTGGGCAGCGCTGGCGGCATGAGTGGTGGCAGTAGCCCCCTTTACGGTAAAACCCCAGACCTGTGCGCCGACTCCCCAGCCTCCAGCCCGGCCTCTGGCCTCTCGCTGCCCTCCAACGCTCGGCCCTGGCCTGCCTGTAGCTCGTCAGCGGGCAGCAAGGACACACTGAGCTGCCAAAGCATGACCAGTCTGCACACCAGCTCTGAGTCCATTGATCTGCCGCTGGGCCACCACGGACCCAAGGTTACGCGAACCGGCAGTGTCAAGTCCACCCTGTCAGAGGGGTGAGTAACAGGGAATACGATTGGGATGAATCGTATTCATTGTTTCATTTGAGAGCAGAGACAAAAAGGAAATCCCTTACCCCCCCTCTAGAGATGCAGGGAAAGCAGAGACTTAACTCCAATGACAAGAATAAGAATCACTCATTCAGCTCACAGTTTTGAATGATTCAGGTTTCTTTTTCTGGCATGGTTTGGTTTTATGAAATGTATTATATATTGCATAGCTCAGTTTGTTGAAGACAAAATTAAAACCATCTTAATGCCAGTTTCCTATCATTCATATATAAACACCAAGATAAAGACGAATAGTTTCCAGTCCAACCATTAAACGCACTAACTGACGGATACATTTGTGCACAGTTAGTCTACCTCACTGACTAATTGTTTTCTTCTTTGGGACCATCAGTAAAGGCATTTAATACAGTAAGAACAGGATGTAATGAAGAGGTCCAAAAATATGCCAGAAAAAGCACCAAAATAAATCCAGATCATGTCAGGCGCTCATTCCCATGAAGTCTTTATCAGGATGTTTTGTCCATTGTTTTGTCCACAGACTGCATGCAATACATCACACAGAGTAGAGTTAGCAGGGCACAACTTTATTTTCCCTTACGAGTTGACTTCAACGTCTCAAAAATGAAACAATTGATTGAAATGTTGTCTGTTTTATTTTGTGTGGTCTGTTGTACTGTGAACATAATCAATGTGTGTGTGTGTGTGTGTGTGTGTGTGTGTGTGTGTGTGCGTGTGTGAGACAAACGTCAAGTTTGTAAAAAGTGATCAAAGTGTTTTTCTCATGCTCTCCATGGACAAATGTGTTCTGGTGTTCATCTAATCCACTCATCCTCTGTGTTTTAACAGCATGCCTCTCGACAGAAACACGCTTCCCAAAAAGGGACTGAGGTACAACAAATCTGCTGACAGTTCTCAACTTGTCTTCTTTTACCTTACCTTAAAAAAGTTCACATTTGCATGAAATGATAATCCTGATATGAAGTGTTCAGTCCACTTTTGTTTGGGGGCATGGTGTGGCACCGTCTGTAGCAGTGATTACCAACCTTTGGCACCACAACACACCATGTACAGTTTACTTACTCATAGAAAGGCGCTAATTCTGGTCGTTGTCAACGAGGGTAGTAGGAAGATTTTAGTGTTTCACCCTCAACTTTCTAACCCCTGTACTGTATTTTACCACAATGGGTAGCGTAGAAGCACATTCGCAGTAGCTCTAAGCTACATATAGCAGGTAAAATAGTTAGCTTAATGTTAAAGTCAAAACAGGGAAAATACTTAGCCTAAGGATGTTTAGCTTTTGACCCTAAATGGTTTAACTAGCTTCATTGTTCGTGAAAGTGTCAAATACATGCAAGGTGAATGTAAACATAGCTGTAATAGCTTCTGCTTTTAAGTTAAACATAAAACGTAAATGGTACAATAGCACAAAGCATTACGTTTATGGTTGACACACTAGGTTAAAGGTATGGATAAAGTATTAAATCAGATAATTTAAGCTAAAAGTTTTGGACAAAAATGTAAAGTAGTTAGCTAAAAGCAATCTGTTTATGTTAGCTTAAGGATGTCTTACATGCTAATATGTGTGATTTAGTAATTCTTCAGTCACTACCAGGAGAAAAACAGCAGTGAAATATAGACTAATGATCTTTCGGGGGTGCATCTGACTGAAATGGTTGGTAACCGCTGATCTATAGATTATCAAATATTGTGATTCTCTGATGTAGCGTTCACTCTGCACGAGCACATTTCTGCAAACACAGAATCAAGAATAGCTCTCTAATGCCTCTGGATGTGATTTTGTACCACAGGTCCTGAAGTCCAGATTACGTATCGTTCTATTTAAGTAGAAAAAGGTTGTCTAATGCGATTTGAATGCTACATCTGATGGTCAGGCAGGAATGTGTGTGGTTGTCTGTCTGCCTATCTCCGTGCATTCTCATCATACTCTCATCTCATGCTGTTAGAAATAATGCTAACACAGGCTCCATGACCGAGCAGTTCTTCCTCGGTTCCTCAGAAATTCCTCAAAAATCTCTCTAACATTTGATTTGTTAGCTGCGGGGGAAGGTAGAATGGATACTTAGAATTTAGCCGGGACTTAAGGGACTGAGACAGAAATACCATAACCTATTCATCACAGTGGCACAACCTCTGCAGGGAACAAACCTCTCCAGCCGATTACACAGTGCTGCTGCAGATGGGTTGGATGAGGCATGCTGGTTTCAAACCATTCTTTTCATTTCAAGGCATTCAGTGCTCTTTTTTGGACCGAAAATAACGGATCCTGCATCACACATTATGCCTGTTGGATGTGATGTTCTATACAGACTGCAGTGTTTTCTCCTCAGCAGTTTCTTCTGACCTCACATCTTTATGGCTGTCTGTTTACATCTCAAAACCAACGACATGTTTTCCCTCAGCTTAGATTTATAATTGCCCCATTTAGTCATATGAATAAGCATATTTTGTGCAGCTTTCAGGCTTTTTGTAAGCACTAGAAAATACTAGAGTCAAACCCCTGACCCTTGGCTATTTCAGTCTGTTCCATGTCAACTCCAGTGAGGAACGAATGCTGCTGTGTCACACCATTCAAAACACTCTTAGACGCCCCAATCCCTGTTGCAGAGAGTCGGGAAAGCACAGGCGTGGGGCACTGAAGCGGGGTCAGATGTGACAAGCGTAGTAATGGAGGCATTTGAAGGAAGACGGCGCTGAAAAGGGATGAGTGCAAACTCAATTATCATCCTCAGAGGATTAAATATGGCCGATTGTCATGCCTGCGATAAGGGGGCCTTCTGTTGCTGAGCCACTTTGGAGCTGGGGAGAGAGGAGATGAACGGCAGTGTCAGTGTGTTTGGCAGCTTTTTGCTAAAGCACTGTGTGTGTGTGTGTGTGTGTGTGTGTGTGTGTGTGTGTGGGTGTGTGTGTGTGTACGTGACTGTGTGGTGTGGCTGCATGTTTATCCCATCTGCTCACATACTTCTATGATATAGCGCTTCACTCTTTTCATCAAGTCACAAAACTTTGTATACGTGAACCTCCAGATATCTGTCTTTTCGCCTTGAGTTGAGATTATCTTTGGGGCTTTCAGGTACCCGCCCTCCTCCCGGCAGACGTCCCACGAGGAGGGGAAGGAGTGGTTAAGGTCCCATTCTACAGGGGGGCTTCAAGACACTGGCAGCCAGTCCCCACTGTCTCCTCCTGGAGCTGCCTGCACCACCACTGGAAAATACCACTACTCCAACCTGCGTAAGTATATATATAAAAAAAAAGGGAATTGTACCACATCACAGTGATAGTGCAGTTTATGTGTTTTTACGATGGTGTTATTTACTGTAAGAGGTAGTTTATAAATCTTGCCACCAGTGATTGCTAAAGGAAAATGCTTATGATTTTCATATAAAACACAAATTAACCAACCAGAGAAGGATCCTTGAAAGATGAATGCAAAGGCTCCTAAAGCCAAAAAAGTTCAGATGTTCCTCCCACACAGATCATTTTTCTAAAACCTTGTTTCACATGTGCAGTTGAAAGTTGGTTTGTTAGATTTGTGTCATGGACTCTTGGTTTTAAAGTTTTTCCATCCATTCACATTTTGCTTGGCGTACTTTTGTGTTACTTTCACAATATGAGCTATACACACATACCTTTTTTACACAAGATATTTAGTAACGTCCCTTGGTCTTATCATGACTTTATACAGTTCATACCATCTTTGTAAAGCTTCTCTGTGTATGTGGAGCTGCAGAAAAACATTTGCTTGGAAAAAATGCATGACTTGATGGAAAAAAAAGGAAAGGTGTCATATCATACATCAATGATTGATCGTTGTTGATTTTACACGGGCTAAAATGTAACTGAGTAAACGTGAAGTATTAACACTGATCTTGTTGATTTTTTTCCTCATTGCAGTGAGCCCCACAAACATCAGCCAGTACAACCTGCCACCGGGCAGCACCAGCATGAGCCGCTCCAACAGCATCCCCGCACAGGACTCCTTCGACCTGTACGGAGAGGGTCACCCGCTGGGTGGCAGCGCAACCTCCCTGGAGGACCGACCACGGGGCATCAGCCGCTCGGGCTCCTTCAGGGACAGCACTGACGAAGGTAAGACACACTCGTAAGCAGACTTTCCAAAAACAGACCTCCATACCCAAAAGACATGAAGAATCATTTCAGGGATCACATTAAGAAAGATAGAGACCCATCAGTCACCAGAGGAGCTCTTTCTGTGTCTTCATACTGTCAGCGACTGCTCACTCTGTTCTGATCTTCTTGTGGATGCCATCTTGGAGGGAATTTGCTGAGTTGAGTTTTACAGCTCGTAGCTATCAAGAGGGAATCAGTTAGCTAGACAAAGGAGAATAAAAAAGCAAGATATTCAGGTATTCAAATTTTGTCTGTTGTCCATATCTTCCTCCAGTCCATGGCTCGTCATTGTCTCTGGTCTCCAGCACGTCCTCACTCTACTCTGCGGTAAGTTACTGGTTTGTTTTTTCATTCTCAATCAATAGTTCTTCAGAATTAGACTGACACCTGGCTACTGCTCAACTAAAACAAGAAAATCAAAGTGTGAACTCTTTAAGCTGCTTCAACACCACTTTTTTTTGCACTTCTTTTCAAATCTCTGCAGTGTTCACTTTCAGTGTTTTTTTTGTCTGCACTTAAATGTTTAAAGGGATTAAAAAAAACTCTCATCAGGGATGTTTCCAGACACAGAAGTCTGCTACCTCAGTGGAAACGCTTGAATAAACAATATACTTCTTTGTAACAACAAAATAAGTGATAAGCTAGTGAACATTTAGTTAATGTAAAATGCAGTTTCTTGGTAAAAAAAAAAAAATCCTGTATTTGATCATGTCTATAAACCCCTCTATTTCAGCCCTGCTCAGAACAGGCTGTTTCTGTGTCTGTACCTTTAAATATGTAAATGAGATGTGCTCCATGTCCTATTGTTTATGGTGAGAAGGCAGACTCAGAGGGCAGAACAAACACCTAGCTGTGGGAGTGTCACCCACCTGGGGGAGGGGCTACTGCCCTTTGTGATGACATGAAGGGAAAATCTGCAAACGGCCTGTTTGAGCACACATTTTCTGAAAAGTGGAGCAGACAGAAGACGGAGAGGATGGACTTTTCTCATAATTTGGGGGTTTGTAGACAGACTAGAGACACATACTAGTGTTAGGAAAACACGGTAAAGTGTATTTTGCGTAATATATGACCTTTAAACAACTATGTTGTTGTCCCTCTTGTTTCTGTAGAGCCTAAAGAATACGGTTTTATTCTTGCTTGCCTCTTGGCAGCAGATAAGACTCTTGACAGGTTTAGTGCTTCCTGATAGCCCTTTAGTCTTCACGTTCAGTGAGGCAGGAGATTAGTTTTAAGGCTGCAGAATCGATTACCTCCCACATGCAACTGTTTCTAATTGCATTAAAGAGGGAACGCCTGGATAAATGATGGGGAGCGTTTTATTTAAAAGGTTTTCCTTCAGGTGGCATTTCTTTGTATATTTTGTGGTTTTACCTTGTATTTTATTTATTCACTTGAATAACCGTCAGTTTGGTTCAGGTATATTTTCCAATTTTTACACCTTTGCATATTTTATCTTTAGTGTCATCAAAGTACTTCTCTTGCTGTATATGTTGATTTCATTTGAAGGAACACAGCACAGAGTAAATAATCTCTTTTTCTATCATTGTGCATGCATCTCCCTCACAGACGGAGGAGAAAGCACACTCCGAGGTAAGGATGGGTGATACTCTGTCCGTCTGCATGTCCGCTTCTCTTTGCACCGTCCTGCTTGACAATCATACAGTGAGAGAAGCGTGCACCTCAAAGCTGCTTAGTGTAGCTGCGCTGCTGCTATGTTGGTAGCTCTGCAGATGCGTGTGTTCGGTGCCTTGCTCATGAGGAGCAACAAGTTTCTATATTGTCTTAATGACCTGATATTGTTTCTTGGATGGACACGTCCTCCATGTCATGCGCATGTTTTGCTGCCCTTTAGATCAGTGGTTCTCAACTGGTGGGTCGCGGAGTCGTTTTCAGTGGGTCGAGAATGTCTGCCTGGCAAAAAATAGTGTCAAAAAAGTCTGCTGAGCACTTTTTAAACATGTTTGTTTTGTGTCGTCTCTTTGTTCTGTCATGTGTTTCGTATTGCCTGAGGTTCAAACTTCACCATCTTTCATGAAATAAATCTGATTGGTTGAAAAATGTAAGGAATGTGGGTCTTGAATTCTCATTAGGAGTTGGTCGTGGGTCCTGAGGCTCGAGAACCACTGCTTTAGATGACTGCTGGCTGTTTTTTTTTTGTCTGTGTCTGTGCATCTCTACGTTTGTGTGTCTTTCTGTTGCACTGCATCTAAGAATCCATCGTACCAAATCAATCAAAGCACAAACAGTGATATTTGTTCAGCCACATTTCGCCTATGATTGGCGATGATCACATAACGATTCATAAATTACAAAAAAAGTGATGGTGGAAAAAATGTCATTAGGTTGTACGATAAAGCATTTGAACTCTATGTTGCATTGCTTTTTATTATCAGTGAATCTTTTTGCATTTATTCCATCTTGATCATAAATAACCACCCAACCTAACTGTGCTCCACATACCATCCTCTAATTACAAAGACTTACACCATACTCAATTAATGCATGCTCTGGCCCCTGGCTCTTTTTCATTTGGCTTTCTTTAACAATCCTGTTCAGTTTATCACTGATTCTTCTTTGATTTTCCAGGTTTTTGGTTTTCTTTTCTTACTTCTGTTTCATTTCCCCCCCTTTCTCTGTCCTAATTCATTAGGAAGCTTGGGTCAAAGAGTAATGGCAAACAGCTAAAGTGTTTCTCTTTAACCTGTCAAATTGGTGGTGTTGAACATTTTCGGTGAACTCATGCAACACAACGTGACAGTCATGAAAGACGC